AAGGTTGACCCATAATGGTAACGGTTTCAAGGTCTGGCATTCCTTCATTCCAGAATAACCTTGAGATTTGTCTCTTGCAAGGATTGCCTTCTTCTTGAATTATTCAATACAGGAAATTGCATATAAATTTGATAGTAGCAAGATATTCTCAGAGTGGCCTGATTACCTGTTAGGAGCTTTGCATTTTCTCAGCGTTCTCTTGTTAAGTATAGGCCAAATTGATTTTGTCTGCGTCAAGGCTTAACTGTGTTTGATATGTGATTTGAGAACCTGTATATTTGGCCTGTCAAATGAAGGAATTCTTCTGGGCTGCATCATCAAGCATAATACTAAAGCAAAGGGAAAAATAGATGTTCCTGTGTTGCACTGTAAATTCATAATTGAAGAAAAAAGATGTTTTAAGAGATTTTTTATTTTATTTTTAAAGTTGGAAGAAATTTGATGTATTGATTTTCTCGTTTTAACATGTTTCATGTCTACATAGAATATTTTTGTTTAAAAATGATACTTCCATTGTTAGGAAACTCGAGCGCTAATGATGCAGAGAAATGACGTCATCAGATGAGGGTTGTACTCTTGTCATAACAAAATCAGGTTTTGACATGAAAAAGTCAAGAAAAAACTCCCAGACTGTAACACTTCACAGAAATCAATGCCAGGAAAAAGTCGTGTCTGGGGAAAAATGGCTTAAAAAATGGGCGGTATGTTTTTAAAGTGAGATGTTGCAATCCTGGGTTTCAAATGAGAGTGTCAGGGGTAGGAGGCCAGGATGAACACCTTTCAGCCTGCAGTGCAAGGGTCTGATGATGTGGCTCCACATCTGATGATGGCAGCTCCACAGGCTCCACAGGCTCCACAGATGGGGTGTTACGGTCCATGTACTTCCCTTTGTAATCACATGCTGTGACAGTGTCAATGTCAGTATTGGTCGGTTTTGCCATCTGTTACTGTTAGTGTGAATATCTGTAATTTTTTAGATTTGACAGAAGAGGGATCTGATTTGCAAGTCACCTTGTTCCAATTTTTTATTTATTTATTTCTATGATATTTTCACATTTGATAACTTTTATAACTTTATGATCACATCTTATGATATTATAACAATATACAGATTATGATAACTAAACTTTCATGGAGCCACTTTGCTTCATAATCATGAACTAAGGAGATGACATCAGAGGCCATATACCAGTACATCAACGCATTTCATGAAGCACCATATATCCTGAGTATTTCTGATTTTTCAAGACCAAAATCCAAGGGGGTAGACAGTGTGGTTGGCAATATCCTTAACCATATTTTGTGTCTTTTATGTTAATATCATTTGCTTTCTCCAGTCATTGAAAATATATTGCCCTTTACAAGTTTTTCTCCTTAATCTCACAGAAATAATTATGTCTTATCTTGCACATCTTTCCCCAACCCTAATTTCTGTCACACTGGGAAGCCCTTACAAATGTCTCAGATAGCTGTAGTTAGATTGGAGAACTCAGCCTGGATTTACATCAGTCAACATGTGCTGCTGTGATGCGGCAAGTCTCTAGAAGGACAGGACATATCTAGGCCCACTTCATGTACTTTTTATGAGCATGAGAACGTGAAATAGATTGATGAACATTTGACAAGTGACACATGGAATGTGCTATCATCATTAACCAGTCTAATTGCTGGGAAGCTAGGTTTTTTCTGCAGAAACATCTGATTTTACTGTGTTTTGGTTTGACATTCACATTTACAAGGCTGTGACAATCAGCCGCTTGATTCAAGTATGGGTTGTTATAAATCTGTTCAAGGGGGTATTTGGTTTGTGCCTTGTTTGATGGTATTTGAGTTGTATTATTAGTGGAATTATGCAAGATGTTTTACCATGACATTTTAAAATCCAGCATTATTATTGGTCTGCCAACAGTATTGAATATACGTTATAGCATCATTTTGTTGATGATGGCATTACTGTAAAGTAAAATATTTATTCAGAAGCACTTCATTCACAATCCCGCCTGTTTGGCTTGTTCAACTACTTGTCTTCCTTCATGAATCAAGTAAAAAAATGTGCTGAGCTTCCTACATTATTTACAGCAAGTGTGGCAACATTTTTCAGACGGAAAACTTGACAAATACTCAGAAAGTGTTTTGTCAAATCTAGTAACATCAACACGGCTTGTCTTTTGGTGCTGGTCTCGATCACGTACTGTGACGTCATATCTACTGTGGCACAGTGTTCCCTTCTGTAGAACTTGATGCCATCATAATAGTTTTGTGCTTGTACTTAGATTAAAACATCACAAAGATCCCTTCATTTTCTCTAGGGATGTCAGTTTGAATAATGGACATTAGCCAGTGGAATGTCATTGTGTCTCACTGAAGTGGTTCAATTGTTACTGTGAAGATTATGGTTTGGGTACATGAAGAAAACATATCTCCAGATGAAACTGATTCACTCTGATCTCTGAATTCTATGGCTGAAGAGCTTGTATTTGTTTTGTCACTGTGTCATGGAATTCACAGGAAATGAATCTAGGTCTGAAATCTTTACATAGAAAATTCACAAGGTTTATATCCTTATTTAGATCAAGATTTGACAAAACATAAGAAGATAAGTAAGATGCTGTGGAGAGTGAAGATAACACATATCAACAGCCAGGAAAATATGTCTTATGATTGTGTTTACCTGTAATATTGCAACTGCAGAAACAAAATTAGTAAACGCTCTTGATAGAAATTATGCTCTCTTTTTTTTTTATCAAATCTTAACCTAATCTTAACAATAACAATTCAAATTTTATATAAATTTATTTAAAACACTTTATCAAATCCCTTTGAAATTACCTCAAATTTTATGTTTCTTTCCAGTCAACCCATTTTCTAGCATTTTGGCAAAATTCTTCAGACAAATTTTGCGAAGCAAGAACAAAATTGTCTGGTTTGAAATGTAAGGATAATTTATTTTTTTGTTATCCTTTGTTGTCTGACAGAACATTGCACAGTTTACATTTGGTTGTAATTAATTTTGTTCATGTTTAAGTCTTAACGATTATCTTTTGAATAAAGGGAACTGGAAAACAACATCCATTTTCTAATCTAGTTATTGTTTCCCCAGAGAGTTGAAATAAAATGAATCTACAGTCCTAACCTCCTATGTTCCCTCTATTACCTCCTGTTGAAATACATTCCACCACAAATACAATGTAATTGCACCATTGGGAGAAAACAATCATACACAACAGTTTATGGTAATTGCTGTGCTTGTAGCCACCATGATCACTTGCATGTAAGTTTCAGATGTGAAGTGACACATGGAGGCTTCCAGCCAATGCTCACAATGGAAGGAGCTTGTTGATTTCATGTGTCTGGTCGTTTATTGCAATTTATCTGTGTATATTTAATATTGCAGCTATGAGGAATTCACAGGACATAAAACACCCATTTCTCCCTCCCCAGACGTAAATAAATTGGATTACATGACTTGCTATCATATTTGTTCAATTAAATGTGAGGGGTTTTAAACTGACGTCAGAAACAATGCACCAAGTGCTTGCTTGGCACATTGATCTAGAATCAAATTAGGGACTGGTCATTTATTATAGGGGAGGGTAGGGGTGTGTGGAGATGAAAGGGAGGGGGAAAAATGACAGCAAAACAGGGGGTACCATCAAAATTTATCATAACTCTGAGTGTGTATGTTGGTGGGGGGGGGGGGGGGGGGGGGGGATGTTTCATAAAATGGGGGGATGAGCAAATTATTTAGATCAATTTTCCCTCCCCCCCTCCCCCACCCCCCACTAATAAATGACTAGTCCCAATCTTCATTATCTTTTGAGAACTTTTATTCAAACACTGATATATGAAATCACATTAATTAATTAGGAAACCACAAATTTGGCCATTAATAGAAATCTGGCACAGGAGTCAGAGGATGAAAGAATATCATGTTAAGTTTGAGAGAAATTTGGCTGATGAGTATATTTGCTTGGTGTGTTCGCTGAAAGTGTTCGTCCTTGATGTACTTGATGCAGTGTATCAAACTGATGGACGCAGAGAAGCCCTTTGAGATAACAAACTTTGCAATCAAGGGAGTGCTGTGTATAAACTGGGAGCTTAAGTGTACTTTGAGATAACTATGTGTGTATAATATTGGAGATGATTTTGTCTGAATAATTGCTGGGGAATTATTTCTACATTATCACGTGATACACCAAAATACAGGCAAAATGTTTACACATTGCTTGGTTTTTATCATGTACTTTAATCGTTATGCGCAGCTTGAGGAATCTAATTATATGCTTTAATGAATGTTGGTTTCTTCAGTAAGAGAGAGAGAGTGAGTGAGAATGGTTATGTATTGACATAACAAGCTTAGTTGTTGTATTAGCGTGAAGTTTTTTGCTGAGTGTGTATATATCAATTTCCATACAGTTGATAGTTGTCTATTAAGGCATCATAATTCAATGTGCAGAGTTGCATCCCTTAGCCATGTCAGGATCTGCTTATTAATAATTTGAATCCTACATTAACTCTGATAATGATCCTTGGTATCACCACCACAACTTATGGGTTTCACAAAAGTGGTAATGAAATATTTATGACCTGCAACAGATTGAAAGTTACTTAGTTTCAAAGTGATGTTAAACCAGTTTGCAGAGTGCTTCTAACCTGTCTGTTCCAGACTTATTACAACTACCACGACAGGAGTGATATGTGTCTGATACTGATTTAACACTGGACCCCTTGTAGGGCAGGTTACTAGAACGGTGCTGTAGCTGATGGTCAAACTGTCCCTTATGTGTGCCAGAAACCTATGATCATGGACTCAAATCCTTGAGTCGCCTTGATTATATTTCTAGGTTTGCCAGCCCCATACCTGTGCTCATGGGTTTCAGACTTTCCCCTGCAATAAGTTGACACAAGTGATACTGTTCACTCACTCACTCACTCACTCACTCACTCGCTCACTCACTCACTCACTCACTCACTCTTTCATGGTATGCCTTGTGTTTCAGCTGCCCCCATGTGCCTCTATCTGATCTGCCCACTGCCAGTGTCATCATCTGTTTCCACAATGAGGCTGCATCGGTGTTGCTGAGGACAGTCAACAGTGTCATCATGAGGTCGCCACCATCACTGTTGAAGGAGGTCATACTAGTTGATGACAACAGCACTAAGGGTGAGTGACAATATTGTCATACTTCTAGGATTGTGATTATGTTTCTAGTCCATCGACTGTTGCTGTTTTCATCGTAAAGCGATGCCGTTTTTGTTTAATGGATCAGCCAAACCTAAAGTAATGAAAAGTTGTCCCAAAATCTGAACTTTTTATACTGCTGACTGCAGACATACAACTACTGCAACAGAATTAAGATAGATAAGTACCAGTACAGCCCTCCAGTGTAGATGCCATGGCATTATTACATGATGGCAGAATATAACCCATCCACTGAGCCCTTGATTCAGCACTAGACTAACATCTAGTGTCTGAAATGAACATATCGTACAGAAAAACCAGTTGTTCAGTTATCTTAATAAAAATATAATAAAAGGGTGCCCTGTGACTCTCTTCATTTTCAGAGACTAAACAAATCTGCAGAACTATAATTTCTTGGAATTTTACGACAAGTGTAAAGGATACTATCACCCATCACTGGCATGCCATTGAAAGTGTGTGTGACAGGAAAATTTATTGCCCCCACCACCTCTCCCCAAACACACACCCCTCCCATTGGAAGCTGGGGGGTCAGTTTAGAGGGCAGTAAGTATCAAATCTGATACTGCAGTAATCTAGACTTGCCAAACATTATGGACTTGCATGGGCTGTATTTGATATATATTTGTATCAGGGTCTGTAAAACAGACTAATTCAGCACCTGTAGAATTAGTTTGGGACTTGCCTCTGACTTTTGTCTGCTAGAATTATTTACAGCATGTCCACATATCTCTTCAAGAAATGTGTACTTTAGATCCAGAGAAACAGAAAGGGAAATGATCAACATGATGTGTTTCCCTTTTGGCTTCAAAACTTCAAGGATAGTTGATAATGGCAAACCAAGAACTGTTCCTAATTGTCATCGGACATATATGAATGTTTCTAGGGCAACATCAATCATGTACATCATGCTTCAATTAAAACTTAAGGGTGCATCATGTATTACCAGAAGACCAATTCTGCACATGGGCAAGCAGTGGCATTTGTTTTTTCCATGCTGTTGACATCTTGCAAATGTTTCACTATGACCTGTCGTTGAAATTGAAATTGTCACTATTAATTGAAAATTCATTTGTTTTACTTTTATGGAGCAGGATTATTGTTAACTTGATAAAACGTTAGTCAGAAGGCTTTGGTTTTAGTCTCTTTTGCAGATATTCCTAAGTGAAAAGTACTTAATTCCTAGTCCATCTCTCAGGGGCCTGTCTGGCCCTTCCATGGTTCATTCCAGGCCTCCCCCTACAGGGAGCAGTGGGCTTGTTGGCAATATCCATCCCTGTAACTGACCCTTGCTGGCTCTCATTGCAGCATCATGCTTTCAAGTAAAATGATATTTTTGAAAGTTCTCTCCTAATCTGCACTGAACCGTTTGATACAGGGCTAGGTTGATGATGATGGCAGATCCATATGGGACACACTCATGTGGTATCATCATTGTCATTTGTCTCAGAAATAATTCACATGGAAAAAAACTCATATTCTGATATTGCCGTTCTTAGAAATATGATTTGTAAGGGCTGTTCTAATTCACAGAAAAAGGAATTTTTTTTGTTATTCCTACAGGGTCAGGCTGGCATTTTATCAAAGTCCATAACAGGTACTCATGTCCTCCTACCTGGGGCACGTTGTGAGGAAAACAGTATTCTGTCTGTTTACTTCTTCAGGAACCTATCTGTAATCTTGAAATAACATCAGCAGATATGAGACAATCCTATACCGATGTGCTGTTATCCCAACAGCACATTGGCATCAAATGCCCCTCAACCATATCCTCCCGTGTGTAAGCGTGTGCAGCCATTAGATGGCTCTCTTTACATCTATAAATCTTATCATGTGTAAATATGCCAGATAAAAATCTATATCACCTCATAAAAAAGTTCTTCCGTCTATTTTCAACCCAAGTGATCCCCAGACAGGAAACACTTGTAAAAATATTAGTTTTTCTTGCAGTCTTCATCCCGTATTTCAACACCCAAGTATCCACAAATAATTCCTCCCCAGATGATCGTTATTTAGTTACTAAAATAATCCCTGCTTGCAAACAAACAATGGTAGTCCAAGGGTGGCGATGAGCAGCTGGACAAACAAAGAGCAGCATATTCCGGGGAGGGTCTTCTGGGCGGGTTTGGTGGTCTTTTACTGTCATAAACATGCTATCTCAGCCAACTGGTGCTTCCAACCTGATTTGTGATACTATTGATGATCATCAAAATCTGCCTTCAATGGCCTCAAGGCCCAGGAAGGTTGGTTGACACAGTTGATCATATGTTTGCTTTTCATCTTGAAGATTTGAGCTTGATATGAGTACATTCATCCTTGGTTATCCAGTGTATCATGTCATTATTCTATTATGATACATTCCCTGGATCCATTTGCTACCGTAGCTTTATTTTGGACCATATTTCCATTACACAGTGCTAAATATGGCAGATCAATCAAGTTACTCAGATTACATGAGTGAGAGAAATTCTGTGCTATGTTCGGGGTGAGAATAAGAGAATAATGGTGAAGATGATGTCACATCTGAAAGGAAGCTATGGTGGAGAATGGTTCCAGGGTATTATCATAATTAGAATGGAGATGTATTACACTGGATAATTCGAGATTGGAGTCTATTAATGTGAAGCCATTGTTTTGTGAAACTTTGTAGATCTTCAAAAACCATTTTGCATGTGGATTGAAAATGGCCAAAGCAGCTATACACACATATTTTTCTATCCACATTGGAAAAATTGTTTAATTTGCAGTGACATGATATAGGCTTTTCCATTGGATGATAGGCCAGTAACATGACTGTGAAACTGACGTTCATAAGCGTATGAACAACACTTTTCGTATGTTTTTTCATGAGACTGTACTCTTGAAATACTGTAACCACTAACAGACTGCTTCCACATTCCTGGGGAAACCCCGGGAATTCCCTTGTGATGAATTCAGACACAAGCATTGTTTCTGATCATTTAGATCTTTAATCTTGAACTTAGTGTTTTAGCATTCATTGTGATAAGACAGAGAGCTTGACTAAATGCCCATTCAAGAATATCCTCACTACGACCCATCCAAGTGAACAAATCAAAGAAATGCACATCCAAACTTCCGTAGTATTGACTCGATGTGTGTCTAGACTGACAGCAACCTCTGACATCATACAGTTTGACCCTCACTTTATGAAGGTGCATAGTTTAATGAACTCACACAAAGTGAAAGTCAATTCTTAGTTAGAGATGATCCAGTATTGTGAATTACTCAAAGTACCCAGAGCCCTATGCTTGTTGTATTTAAGAAATAAACGGCGAGTGGGAGTTGTTTATCATACAATAAAACACTGCAGGGAGAATAAACCATGAGGGGCACAGCCTGGAGTGTTTTTTCTCCCTGCAATATTTTATTGTATGATAAAACAATGACAACAAGTCGTTTATTTCTTATGAGATATTTACATTATGTACATCCTCTTTGAGGATGATGATAAAATGTACAAGCTTTCAAAATATTTACCCGTATTTTAATAATGATGACTCTCTAATAGAATCTGACATCTGTAAAGTTCATTTTATGCACAGGTGGGTATTGCCCACTTATTCTCAAAGTTGATTACTTGTACCTTTTCTCCCAATACTGATTGTCATATCGCTCCTGCTTTTACAAACGATCGTTCGGCCATTGTGTTTATCTGCCTTGCCCATCTCCATTTGTGGGGAACAACTCACTAGACACTCCCTCTAAATACATGTAATAACATCGTCCAATATGTGACATCATGAAGTTGAAATCGTATGTTTAATTCTCCCAAAGACGTATATACGTCCGTGATTCTCCAGAAATGATGTCATGGTAGAACAATGTCATATTGGGAAATCAACCACGCCCCGTTCTTCATTGTTCTTTGCGATTTATCGCATAACTATCTTGTATAGCCTAATATTACCCTCCTACAAACTGGGATGAAACAACACACACTCATCTCAGTTTGTAGGAGGGTCACTTGTATATTGATGGATGTTATACATCAGCTACAGTGAGGGTTTGCCCCACAGATGATGCAGGGTGGATTTTCCTATGTGTTACCAAACAATTTCTGGGTTATAGTTAAAATGGAAATACAAGTTAGAAAATGTCATTTGTTGTTCCTTCATGTGGGGAGATATGAGAATTGATAAAAGGAAAATCCTAACATGGCTATCAGCTAAAATTAGATTCCCAAATATAAATCACAATAATCTCTACACATACACACCATTTCTAACAAGAACCAGTCTGTGAAACAAGAGCTCCACTGCAGCTCATGACACATTTGTTACTCTCTTTATAGAGAACCAAATATGGCTGTGAGGAGAGTATGCATACCCACAGAACTGTGATGTCACAATTAGTGGTGCTCTGCAATGAATGAGGCTGGGACTGTCAAGCATTAAGTTAAACCTTCTCAACTACAATATAGAAATAAATATGCATTGGCAATATGAATAACAGTGACATGTTCAGAAGAAATCTGTGCTAAATGTAGTCGACTGGATGATTCTAACAAAATGCAAATATAATCTTTAAATTGGTCATGCATTGTTGAAACCATTGTTTTGTCCTTATTTAGTGTATGCTCCTTTACACCTCACTGTTAAGATATTTCTTGTTGGTTTGTTAAGCAGTCCAAGTCAATGAAATACATGTATTAAAATTTACAAAAGCAATTAAACATTGCCCTCTTATTCAATGGCTTATTGATTCTCCATATATATTTCATTCTGTGAAAAAGGAAAACTGAAAAATAGACAGGATGAAAAAGAACATGAAAGTGGCTTACAACAACAGCATGTGCATCCCGCCAAACAGACAAGACCCCTTGTATACAGTCATTTCATATAGCAGGGGCCGGCCCAGTGGGAAACCTACATGTTATTTTGACAAGTCGTCAATCACGCTGGATGATATTTATCTAAGAATCTATCTGCTATGACTGCTGATATTTACACAAGAACAATCTACTGCCACCCAAAACCATTATGGTATTTATATGCTGTGTTTCTCTGAAATGGCAAAACTAATCCAATTGCTGCAACTGACATGGTCTAAGTACACAGCAAAGCCTTGTACATCATGCGACCAGCACCATACTGATGAAATTAACGTGCGCTGCTATATTTTCATTTCCTAATAATTACATCAACCACGACTTAATTTGTTTTATATGGAAAATGGGTTGTAACAGCCTTGGTCCATAACATGGAGAAGAAAAAAATGAGGTGCGTCCCGCAAATAACGTATTAAATGAAAATAAACAGCAGTAATGAACAACTTGCAATTACTTTGTCAAAAGATGATTCAATTACAAGAACAACAGGACAAAATAAAGTGCCAGGGATGGTTAAAAAACATGGAAGCATGGCAGCTGTCTTCTAAATGAGAAAATGGTACTTGAATAAGTTCGGTTTGGAGAGGGCATTGTAGTTATCTAACATTGTAACGAGAGTGAGTGAGTGAGTTAATATTTAATGTCACATCGACAGTATTTCAGCCATATCGTGACGATTGTAAAGAGAGACCAAATGGAGGTATTTTGCTGTCATTTAGTCTCTGGCTGTAATAGTGGAGAACTCAAAATTCATCCATGATAACAAAATCAGCTGGGTCTGCTTCAAAATGACGTAAATTCTCATGAGAGATGATAAACCTGGAGCATTTCTGATCAGGTGTCAGAAGCCTGGGACCCACTGTGCTGAAACTTTGTCATGCCCAGTTCATTCCTCAGAATGTTCTCACCCATCACCTGAGAGATGCTACTGTATTGGCTGTGTGACATGTGGGAGATGTCGATCATCCATTATCATATCACATATTTTGTCAACATTGACCTTAGTGGTGGCAGTTGATCATGGAGGTTTTCCTGATCTTGGACTCTTTGAGTCTTTCTCTTCCCCTCCTGAACTCTGCTGCCCACCTCTGAACAGAGGCAAAGGAAGGAGCATCGTCCCCTAAAGTTGACACCAAGTCCACATGGATGACTGTTGGAGTTTGGCTCTTTCATTTGGAGATATTTGATGTGTGGTAGCAAATTTTGTCAATTATCATCAACAGAGAATACCTAGTCACTTTGATGTCTGCAGAAACATGCTGCCTGGTTGTATGTTCGTTCTAATGCAGCCTGTAAGCAGTGAGTAAGTGAGTGAAAATATAACTCCACATCAGCATTATTTCAGCCATATTGTTACCATGGAAGGTATTGTACTTGATAATATACTAACTGCTAGGGTGTGCTATACATCCTTCGTAGTTAGGCTGAGAACATTTCAGCCACCCCTCGTATATTCAGTGAAAGAACTGTATCTTTTTCTGTGATGACCTCTTCAAAGCATAAATCTGTCTATTCTGTGATAGCCTCCCTTGACAGCATATACTTTTCTCTCTGTGATGACCTCCTCAAAGGCCTACAGCTGTCTTCTCTGTGATAACCTCCCAAGCATACACCTTTCTTTTAAATCTAATGTATCTCAGTACTGGTATAAGCATTCCTTTGAAGTAACTATTTTATCAATATGACCTCCTTTTTTTGTAATATGAGCTATAAAACAAATGTCTTTCTAAAGAAGACCTATAAAAATCTTTTTATAATTAGCTCCTTTAAAACAACTGTTTTTTCTTAATATGACCTCATTTAAATTGATATAAATTCTTTGAAAGCAATTGTTTTTCATGTTACCTCCTTCAGAGCAAACATCTCATTTTAAGTGACTTTCTGTAAGAGAAGTATCCTTTTCTGTGTCTGTCCCCCTTAGAATAGTTTCCACATTTTTCTTAGATGTTGTCCTTGTCTGTGGGGACATCTCTATTGTTGGACTTTTGCTGCACTCATCCCGGCCTCAACTCCACAAGTGAAATCCTTCCACAGGATCAACAAGAAATGCATTTTTACCTCCCTCTTTTCTCTCCTAGTCTCACTGAAATATTGATCTTCCCTTTGTTGTTCTGTGAGTTTCATCTGAGAAATGAATGTCTGTCTCTCCTGAATACAGCCCCGACAAGCAGATGTCTCTATTTTATCCTTGTGCAGAACCAGGACAGCACATTTTATTCATTCATTTTATAACCCTGTTAGTAATCTCTTAAAACATGTGCTGCAGATAGCTGTTGAGTGAGAGAGTGAATGTGGTTTTATGCTGCAGTCAGCAATATTCTAGTTGTATCATGGTGGGGGGTGAATAGTGGAATCTGAACCTGACAAACCAGATGTTTAAAGCATCATCTTGAGTCTACACAATCAGACAGGTGACACACATCGCAACCACAGTCCCTGATGGCTGTTATCACAAGTATTAGTATTGAAACCTATTAGCTCAAGGAATCTCTGTTGGGGTACTGACCTCTATCTACAAAAGGAAATTCAAGAAAAATATGTCTTTTTTTAAAACACCTTTGTTGAAAATAACAAAAAATTAGGATTTGCTTTCAAATAATGTATAATAAATGTAAATAAAACTTTAATATTTCATGGAACATGTACAAATCTAAAAAAACAAGTTTTGATAAAGACGCATGATGATATACTGTTTCAACTGTTTTTGTATTTTCAGGCAACATTGATGAACTACTGACAACTTTTCAACAATGGCCAAAGGTTTCTCTGATTCGGACAGTTGGACGTCAGGGGCTTGTGCGTGCTCGCCTTCTTGGTAAGTGAACAACACATGAGTCATGGCGGGAAAGCTCTGAATTTCAATAATGAGCAAGTAGCTAGCGGGCAATTTATGTCTTGACTAATACGTCGTTAGCGATGCCATATCTAATTATACATTGATCAGCTGGAGGTAGATGAATGGCAGCCAATCAGCGCTGCAATTGACAAGCTTGTCGATTTCACCTGACACAAAAGGAAGCTACCCGACAGTGAAGTCAAACCCTTCATTGTAATATTGTGACCACCAGTCAAAGAGATAATGACAGAGCATTCAGCTGAGGGGGATTTCGAGATAACTTCACGTCATAGGAATGGGTTGAAATTACGTAGTTTGAACGGAGCTGCAAGTGGAGTAAAAGTTATTAGCATGTGGGGATTTGGGTGTTATTGATTTTTGTCTTGTTATGGTTATCAAATAAGCTCAGTTAAACACTCCTGCTCGGTACAACTTTATTGATGAGGTTCCCTTACTAAAAATATTCTGATGGAACTGACAGTGAAATTGACGAAGGGTTTATTTCCGCCAATTTTCCTTTCAGCATGACATGACATGTACGGCCGATTATCTCACTCTCATAACACCCTTGTCGTGGCCAGCTTGACGTGGCATCTATAACTGGTGGTATTACACAATGCACCTTGGGAGTGAATTTAACAGCTACTCAAATCAGAGCCAAAATAGCCTTATATAGACTGAAAGAGTAGCTGTTGTGATTCTTGTCGAGCTGAACTTGCTGTTTTTAATAAACTGTCTGAAGTGGTGTGCTGTAGGTCTAATATCTTATCAGCTTTTTTATAGAATGAAAATATAGACCCACAAACCTCAAATGACTGTAACTCAGATACTGGTCACCGACCAGTTATTGCCATTTTTTTCATGTTATTTCTGACATATTCTGTGTACAAAGTTGACTGTACCAATTCCTTTAATTTTTGTGAAACTATGAGCAAATTCTTTTATAACACTACAATAGGGAATCAAAACAGTGGAAATAGAACTTTCCCGTTGACTTATTGTACCAGTTATCGCCATCATCTTTACAGCATGTGCTATGTGATCACGCGCACCGCTTCAGTTATACAAATTACATATTTTAGTATCTCGGGTATCGCACTCAATCTTTTTATTCATCGAAATGAATAAGAAATGTTATTATCAATTTGTCATCTGCAAACTGACAAAAACAATATTCCCCAAATTTGATTTACACATGCTTAATAACACTATGTATTATGGATTGTACGATATATAGTGATGCATTTTGGGAAAAATAGCTCAAATAGGTTTCAGAATTGTATTTTGGGGGAGTAATGACAGACAGATAGCAAGCAATGACAGAACTGAAAGTGCATCATCATGTTGTTTGATTTATATTTTCGCATGATTTGGTCACATGACACCGCTCGCTTGTCTTTTCTAAAGTTGTACTTGAGAAAGGTGACTTTTTAAATATTTCTTCACAAGAACCCGTTTTGTTCATCATTTTCAGATACATATTTCTCTCTTCTAATAAAACGAGCAAAAGTAAAGTGAGATGCGATCACGTGTGCGCTATAACGGGGAGTTGGTGATAAGTGGTCCTCGGCTATAACCCATCGCAAGTCAGTACTTGGGAAGACTTCATCTGTCTATCTTAAATGGATTTATTTCCTATCATTACATATGTAAAATGATAATGATGATGGTGATGGTGATGATGATGGTGATGGTGATGGTGATGGTAACAATGCTAGACCCCATATAAATAATAGTAATGACAAGAAATAACTTTTATAGTGCTTTAATCCTCACATCAACTCACTGAGAGGCCAGCTAAAAGCACAGAACATCATAACCACTTTCAATGTCTAGATCAGTTTTTGATTCCTGGAATTTTGTCTTTTGGCCAGCACTTGTTAGGCAGTTGTCTCTGTAGCCTGCATCTAACACGGCCACATTTCATGAGTAGCTTACAAATTTCCACAAAGAAAACGAAATGATGCTCATCTATTTCTGACATGGAATCCCAACAGTATGGATGACTATGTTATATCCAACTCGTTGATTGCAAAATACGGGACAGCAAGGTCAGACTTCAAGTTGTAAACCAGTTTTATGGTTGCCAGATAGAAAGCTGAGTGTCAGTTAAACGGTTTAATTCTGATCTGACATTGAACCTGTGTTGTAAAACCTGACAGCAGTTTTTATGTATTTGCCGTGTATTTCCATATCAGTGAAGGAACGTCAATTTCAGTTGTACATTTCAGTCGAGGCCGCCGTCACTTTATGGTTCCCTCTTGACAAGCACCTTTCTGTTATTCAAATCAGGTTGGAGAGCTGTGTTGTACAGATGATCCCTTGCAATATTTCTCCTCAACTTCATTTTGGCTAGCAGCATAATTTACATAATGTTTGCTTTCATGGCATCAATACACATGTGACACTTTCCATTCCCTTTAGAAATATGGAAGAATGTTTTGGTAAAGAATGGTCGTGAAGGTTAATGATGGAATGTCCGAGTGTTACGATGGCATGAGATAGTACAGAATGAGAGAGGAGCAGAGGGCTCGGAGTGAGAGTGTCTATTGGATATAGTATGAAAGTAGTGGATTTGGAGGTGAGACGAAATGACGTTTACTGTTGCATTCAAGATTGTTTCACTTATAAAGTAATGTGCATGGACATGTGTGTGTGTGTGTCTGGTTGTACAAGTCTGGACTTATGCAAGTTATATAGTGCTAACCCACTGCATGAGATACCAAGCTCCAGTTTAACATGGATACCTTACTCAGGCAGTGTATGCTGACTCCAAGCCGACCAGTCCTTGTTTTAGCCCCTTAATGCAATAAATATTCTCTGTGAAAGACTTTTGGTATGACGTGGCCAGGGGATCAAACCACTGGCCTTCCCCTGTCCAGACAGATGCTCAACCTTCTACACCACAGAGGCAGTCAGAGTAAGTGGAATAGTGTGGAATGAAAGATATATAGTGAGTGGATTGAGTGAGCAAAGAATGAGAGATGGTATCAAATAAAGAATGGAATAAAGAAAGAAACACTTGATTTTGGAGAAAAATGAAACAAGATATTAGAGTAGAATGAAAGTAGGTGTGAGAAGATTGATGGGTTTTTTGTTCACTTGTCAAACAATCTGTATCATGGAGTCAAACAATCTGTATCATGGTGACATGTAAAGAATCAGGGCCAGGCAAACCTAAGGTTGACGTTAAGATGAACTTCACAAGCTGTAAGGGTACGATGACATGCAATCATCCAAATATTACTGATCCAGACCACCTGATACAGTCTAGCCTCTCACACAAGCACCAGAAAGCTAGGACTTTATTCGTACCCAATCCACAATAGGTGAGGGTCATTTGAACAAGACAATTATATACCAATACTATAGAATTAGGGGCTCTTGAATGAAAGCTTTAAATAATTGTTTTACCAAACTGTTTTACTGTATGATGATAAAACTTATGTCCTCGACACTGAGGCATAAAGATTTTGGAATGACAGATACAAGACTTTGGAGGGACGCAGATAGGCTGTCTCCAAGACCCAAAAGAATACATTCAAAAATGAGGCTAACTCAAGTCTATAATGATTTGGCAAGTCTTGGTTGCCTCAGCTCTAGGGTGTGTTCCATTTGGATTTTCGTTTCTTTTTGTAGATAACTTTATTTCTGGGTCTAAATGCTAGTCTATACCTGGTCATATCTATTTTAGAGTCTAGGGTTTAGGGCATTGTAAATCATTTGCATCCATTCCAAGATGTATGCATGTAAGATCTCAAATATATAACAAGAGTCCTGCAAAATTAAGTCCAACCCTTTTCAATGGGCGAGGAGCCCATGACCTCGCCACACACAGGGAACACTAGTTGAGTCTGTAATTTAAGATGTTTGAGATAACATCAGATTATCTTTGAACATTGGAATGAACTGGAAGCATAGACATTGGGGGAATATTATGAATGAGTGAATGAATTTGGTTTGACAGTGAGTGTTGGAAGATGTGTTTGTTGAGTTGTATTGTATACTGGAAATCTTTCACACTTTTCACTTTGCAGGAATACTGTTCTTGATAAGTATGTTGTTGTTTTTTAATCCAAAATCTGAAAAAACCTGTACCTTTGGCTTGCTTAAATGGATATTACATATGAATACAACATTACGTTACATCACTATTTATCAGAACAACTTTAATTTATTTTTTTCCCACATTCTGCTCGCCAGGTAGATTCAGTTATCTCAGAAGGAGAATGTCTGTCCTTTGTATAATGGCATCATCATATTCAAGGGTGACGGCATAACATTCCGCTGTTTACGGACAGAGAGAGAGAGAGTTCTACAATAAGTACTGATAACTTTTGTAAATGTTTTTTACAATGCTGACAAACATTATATGTTTTCAGATTTGTAGGTGCTACTACTTGTCATCAATCAATCCATTACACTGCAAATCAGAATTTTTTTTTTATCTGCTAGTTGACATTGCACATCTGATTTTACACATTTATGGTCAAGGATCTATGTATCATATTGAGATCGGTGTTCTCAATTAACTGTAGGTGAGCTTCAGAACTTTCTATTGTATACTGGTTCTTCCTGTGTATTCATGCAAAACTGTTTTTTCTAACAGCTGAAATGTTTCAAAGCGTTTACTTGACAATTAAAATTCAACTACATTTTTCACATGCAGGAACAATTTTATCCTGGATCTAACATTTCACAGTTTTCATTCAAAGAAGAAGTTATTGATTTGAAAAACAAAACCGTCATTAAATACTCCTTACCACACTGATTTATTCCCTGTGTTGTTGTGAAAAATCTGAAGCATCTTGTCAGTGTCACATTTGAAAATTTATTGCTTCAGTTTTTAATTCCCAGTCAAGTAGGGGCACTGAATACAATCCTGGATCAAATTAAATGCAATTATTTTCCTAACAATCTTTAAAATATACTAGTTTTTCATCTGAGTTGAAATGAAATTTAATATTCAGGAACAGTTTTTCAGATAAACTGTCACTTTTGAAAGATCCTTGTAATTGTGAAAAAATGTAAATTTAGATTTTGGACTAGTTTATTGCCATTCATTTTGCACTAATCAGAGTTTATGAAATAAATAATATTTTAAGTGGATCTAAATAGAATTTATAATGACAAGCTAGACCCTAATACTGGATAGGTTGGCAAGAAGTGTTTTATAATTGCATAACTTTAGCGTGATGCATAGTGGTTTATTTCGATTTTCAGGATGAAGAAATTAGGGGCTTTAGTGAAAGCTGAAATGAATCGAGATTTATGCCTTTGCCCGTCGCTAGTTTTTTTTAATATGCAAATTAGCAGCGTAAATTGCAACTTCCTTTGTTGTAGTTACCAGCTGCTCTTGACACAGGATTTGTCTCTGATTTTTTTTGGTAATAATAGATTTCCTGTAAATTTCAATTTTAAGAATTTCTTTTGTTGCAATTTAATGCGAGCAGAATTTCTTGCTCAGCTTTTTAAGAATAACCCCAATTTTGTGTTCGGTTTCTGCTTCTTCCTGTCATGATTGCCGATGTACATCAAGCTCAAGTAAATCATCTCTTTGATGTATGGAATGAATCTCTGTGATTTCATCAAATTGTGAATTATTTATTTATGATCTTTTCATTTTTATTGAAGCTATTTTATAGGCAATTTTTGAGTCACTGATTAAATTACCACTGTCAGAGGAAATAATATTATTATCACATCTTCTATTTAACTCATTGTCATCAAAATCTACTTTCATCATAATAATCATGACCATATTTCTAATCATCATTTTCTTCATCAAAGTTTTTTCTTGAGTGACACTATAAGTAATTCATCACACTGACTCAGAATGCGTGTATGTGTTATACACTTGCTTCATCATCCCATCACCCACTTGGGAGAATGAGTGAGTGAGTTTAATTTTAACGTCACATCGGCAATATTTCAGCCAAATCGTGACACTTGGGATAAAGGGCATGGATTGCCCCAAGTACCCCAGGATGTATTTGGGAGGGTTGCTGAAAGTTCTGAGACTAGCTTTGATGGAGTGCATTGGTGGATTTGGTTGTTTGTTGATTTTTCCAAATAGTCCCATCCGAGGTCCACACACATCAGGCCATGCCAGAGTTCCTGGACCTCACTGGTGCAGAAGGCTCCTCCTGGTGGTGTAGAAAGTCCTCCACAGCAGAAATGACATCATCAGCATTTGCATAATGTTTGTCAGACAGTTTTTTCTTCCAGTATGAGTTCAAGGCCACAGTCATGCATTACAGCCATGGCAACAACAGACTTGTGCACAGGTGCATTGTCTTCATGGAACAACACACTTCAGTGTGTTTTCCCACAATGTTTCGCCTGAATATTCACATGCAGTTGTCTAAGCAGATTAGCATAATATTGGCCATTAATGCTTTCTGGAGATTGTCCACCATTAAGATTCATTTGGAATCAGAGAAAACCAAAGACATAACCTTGCCATCTGATGGAGTTTGCCTTCTTCAGAAGAGGAGATGTAAGATGTTTTCACTGCTTTGACCGTTATTTAGTCTCTGGCTTAGAGTTCCGAACCCAAGAATCATCCATGGTTACAGGGCCATGGTTAACAAAATCAGCTGGGTCTGCTTCAATGTAAACTCCCATGAGAGATGGTGAACCTGGAACATTTCTGATCAGGTGTCAGAAGCCATGGAACCCAGCATGCTGAAACCTTTGTCATGCCCAGTTCATCCCTCTGACCTATCACCTGAGAGATGCCTACTGTATTGGCTGTGTGACATGTGGTGAGACGTCGATCATCCATAATCATGTCATGTATTTTGTCAACATTGACCTTAGTGGTGGCAGTTGATCATGGAGGTTTTCCTGATCTTGGACTCTTTGAGTCTTTCTCTTCCCCTCCTGAACTCTGCTGCCCACCTCTGAACAGAGGCAAAGGAAGGAGCATCGTCCCCTAAAGTTGACACCAAGTCTACATGGATGACTGTTGGAGTTTGGCTCTTTCATTTGGAGATATTTGATGACAGCATGGTAGCAAATTCTGCCCACATTTTTTTGAAATTTAAATCTAATAATCATTTTATTGTGGCCTTACTAAGAACCCTGAAGTGGAAAGGTTTTTGAAAACCTGTTAAGATTTCAATGCTTTTTGCTTGCCCATTTTGGCCAAGAAGACCTAGTGTCATCACAGTAACTATATATACAGTGATTTGTAAAGACTCTTAATGTCACCTCCATCTTGTATGGCTTCTGTTCTATATGTTGTGACAGAGACGGCTCCAATATGAATAGGCATAAGGAACGTCATGTTTAATTAACTGTTCCAATAGGCAAGAGCAAGAGTAAACGTCTTCCCTGAATTCCAACGTCAATGAGGATAATCACTCTCAAATATCTGCTGAAACAAATTCCTTTGGGTATGCAAGGCATAGAGTGCTGAAAATTATGTTGTAATTTCTGGAATGACCACTGAGGCAATGAATGAGATTGATGATGTGTATGTTTAATGTTTGCCTCCATTCAAAATATTGTTAGTTTTCCATAACAATCATATTGAAAAAGTTATTATGCACAATTGGTCTTTCATTTATGCAGGTAATTTCATGAAATTTGGTATGTTAGTATGCAGGTGGTTCCAACATCAAAAGCAAGTTATCCGTAGAATTCTCATTTATTTAACTGGTTGAATCTTTCTTGATGTCCACAATGTAAAATATGTTTCCATGGTAATCAAATCTGCTATTTGGTAGAATACAGAACCTGTTAGCACTTGGGAAGGTTTTTGTCCAGATACATTATTCATATCATTCTGCAGGTGAACATATTTTCAAATGTTAGGACAGGAACAAAGTAAAATTTAACAAGAAAAGTATCAATATTAAAAAATTAAATTAACCAATTGTTTAAACCAATCAGATTGCAAAACAACACCAATTCCAGACTCCACACTGTGTCAGTTAACTGTCACTGTTCTCTGTATCTCATCCCTGTCACCACAAGTATACTTTGTTTTAGGAGCGTCCCAGGCTGTTGGAACACATTTAATGCTTCTGTTTCAGGAGCGTCCCAGGCTGTTTAACACATTTACTGATTCTGTTTCAGGAGCGTCCCAGGCTGTTTAACACATTTACTGATTCTGTTTCAGGAGCGTCCCAGGCTGTTGAACACATTTACTGATTCTGTTTCAGGGCAATCCCAGGCTGTTTAACACATTTACTGCTTCTGTTTCAGGAGCGTCCCAGGCTGTTGAACACATTTACTGCTTCTGTTTCAGGAGCGTCCCAGGCTGCTGGCCACGTGTTGGTGTTCCTTGACTCTCACTGTGAGTGCAACGTCAACTGGTTACCTCCCCTTCTCCAGGCAGTACAGCAGGATACCACGAAGGTCAGCACCAGGGTCACATTCTTGACATAATTTGTTGACATATTCTTATAATATCTTATATTCTCCAAGTTTGGGTTATTATTTATGAGAACAATTTAAAAGAGCATAAGGTTGTGGCTTCTACCCAGTCTGCATGTTACTGTCTGACACTTCATGACACTTCATGACACTTCATGACACTGCAACTGCACTGGAATATTGTTTAATGTGGCAAAAATCAACACTCACTCACTCACATTACTTATAACACCATGCACACATAAAGTACATTAACTGCATTAATAAACCACTTGTGTCTGTCAAACTCTTTATATTGACAACTATCTCTTAAAGAGGAACTTCTAGAACCTTTTTCCTCTGTAGGTCAAGGCACTGCAATATTGTCTTGTGTGAAAATAAGACGTCTTTGTGATTAAAGAAATCATTATCTCATAGTTTTGGAAAACACCAGAACATTTAGGCTAGCAGACAAACAACATCACAGTGTCTTTAATCACACCCTCTGACACTGTAACTTGTATGAGACACGTCCCCTTTGACATGAGAACTTTGACCTCAATCAGGTTCCAGTACAAATATACTGATTCTTTGGTTGTCTCTTTTATTAAAAAAAACCCTGCATCAATGACAATCAGGGCTTCGGGATAAACTGTCTCAGCATTAGATCAACACTAATCTTGCGTGAAATACATTATCTGCTAGCTCTCCCTCATAACGGGTCAGCTAGCCAAGTATTGACTTAGGCTAGAAAGTTTCAAAGATGTTCTTGCACACTGAAGGACTCTCAATGAATCATAATATTGAACACACAATCCCTCCCAACCGACAATGTATCAATATCATTCAGACATAATATCATGTGAGTTTTTACTAAAGGAACTTTGTGTTGCCTGATGTTACTCTGATCAATATATTCAGCCCAAATCTGTCATATTTGTGATGTTTATGTTTGAAGAAGTGATATTCAAACGGGCCAGATTACAAACTTTTATTCAAAATGTGAAAATTCCAAAATGAATGTTTAAATAAAGAGGCATATCCCGTCCCATCAGTGTCAAAATCAATATCATGCTAATGATTTCCATACAAGTCAGATATCAAAACATTTAAAAAACTTTCAACATGTTGATTTTTTATACAAATAAAAATCATCACTAAATTGTTGTGAGTAATGGCCATATGACTCATTTTTCATTGTGTTACTTCCACAGGCATTGGCAGCATTTCTAACAGTGACAGAAAAGGTGTTTTCTCAATCAAATCAGTTTAAACCATTCTTTTAGGGGTGAAAGCCCAGGGTCTTTTTAAAAAAGATTCAATAGTTTTCTCAAGAATTTCTGACAACTTATTTATTATTAGACAATAAAAAGCCAAGAATATTGACACAGCAACATATTATTTTTAGAGAAATAATATGGTTTTTTTTAATGTAAAGTAAGCTTGTCTGACCTTTATTCTAAAATGAACTCATCTTACAGAATTACCAATTTCCTGCTGCAACAGACAGCTATGAGAGTGATTTGGAATTCCTGCAGATGCCTTTTGCGTTCTCTTATTAGTGTCAAGTTTCTGATTGAACATGGCTTCCTCTCCATGCTGCTTTATAATTTGCTGAGAATGAGAAGAAATATTTGATTTGCATGTCTGTCTTGACTTCTGCTCAATTCACTGGACACTCGGAATGAGACACTCGGAATCAGGAATCAGATGTAACTGTCACAACCTCTTTTTGTTGCCTCCTGCAACCACTGATGCAGATCAAGTGAAAATCAAAGCTTAAAAACATTAGGATTTCTGGTTCTTTTTGCAATATTATTTTCATCATCATAATCATCAGCACCAATGTTTAAAGGAGGAATTAGGTAGGAATTGAGGCTCCAGGAACTGTCCATCATTATCATCATCAGCTTTCTTTAAATTCTGAGAGGGTTGTAGATTAGGGTGGGACACAAGACCTTTGGTGTGTTGTTATAGTGTCATCATACTTCCATGAGCATTTCCTGACATGAAATACAAATGTGGTATGACAATGGCTGTGTGTGTCAAGAGGCAGACAAATGTGGTATGACAATGGCTCTGTGTGTCAAGAGACAGACAAATGTGGTATGACAATGGCTCTGTGTGTCAAGAGACAGACAAATGTGGAATGACAATGGCTGTGTGTGTCAAGAGACAGACAAATTTGGTATGACAATGGCTCTGTGTGTCAAGAGACAGACAAATGTGGTATGACAATGGCTCTGTGTGTCAAGAGACAGACAAATTTGGTATGACAATGGCTCTGTGTGTCAAGAGGCAGATAAATGTGGTATTACAATGGCTCTGTGTGTCAAGAGACAGACAAATGTGGTATGACAATGGCTCTGTGTGTCAAGAGACAGACAAATGTGGTATGACAATGGCTCTGTGTGTCAAGAGACAGACAAATGTAGTATGACAATGGCTCTGTGTGTCAAGAGACAGACAAATGTCTTAATGGACTTGGCTATAGGCCACAGTTACACAGACTTTTTTGTCTGTTACAGATTTTTTTGTTAAAGGTATTGGTTGGTAGGCTGAAAAAAAGACATTAAGATTTTTTTATTTTGTCCTGCAAGAAATTATTTGAATATTTGGGTACCGTATTCAACCTAATAAGCGCCTAGGACGCTCTCAAAATTAGAAAGTTCTGATTATTCTTAATATCATTTTGGTGAAAAAAAAATAATTGAAAAATAAATTTCGTGGTTTATGCTGACAGCCTGAAATGTTTATATACGACAGATATATTTTTCCAGAATTTAATTGCCCATAATTAAGGGTAATAAAATAAGTACATTGATCAACCAGAAGGCGTTCTAATTGGGATTGTTCACTAGCCAATATATTAGCAAATATCGCCGTGGGCGCTTATTAGAAAGGGGAGCTTATTACGTCGAATATGGTATATCTGGTTTATGTGTTTATGAAGCCAGGTTTGTCAGTCTTACAGTATTGCATTCATTATGTTTTGTAGTGAATATAAAATTTTGAAGTTGGCTGTGTAAAATATAATAGAGCTTTTCAGATTTTATTTCTTACTTTCAGTTTTTATGGTTGGGCTGATCAGTTGCAGTTACAAAATGCATAACATTCGTGTTGAGATTCTTGTTTCTGACACAAGAAGGCATTCTTCTTGACAGCTCAGAAGTGGTCACATCATCAGATAGTGAGTGAGTGAGTTGGGTTTAACGCCGATTTTAACAGTATTTCAGTTATATCTCGGCCTGTCTTAATGTGGGAGGAAAGCCAGAAGTGATGCAGGTCACAGACATTTCCCACTTCAGTGAAACGTGTGTGGTGCTGACAAACCTAGAAACATAATCGGGGCGAACCGGGAGGCAAACCCACAATCATAGGTTTCTGGTGTGCCCAAGGGGCGCAACTCTGCACAGCGAATTGCAGCGTCTTAGATGACTGGGAACCCGTGCCCCCCCATCATCAGATAAATCTGATAAGTGTAGTTATTTTATACATGGGTGCATTGTATACATAACTGAGATATATATTCTTTGCAAATTCGTGAATTTAGGACAAACTAAGATATTTATCTACTATAACAGGTACATTGTCTTAATTGTTCAGAAGCTGAACAAAAGCTACCAGCATTGTGTTCAAATCTCAACCATCAGGAATATAGCTAGTAATAAGATGGAAGATATGTTTTTGTTTGCAATATGTTGAGGCAATTTGAGTTTTGTATTTATAGTACATACTCATAGAACAGAGTATTCATCATTCATATATTCATAGTACACTGTACTATGTTCATGACCTCTTCATAAAATCACAAGCGATTCGCTGTGCAGAGTTGCATCCTTTGGGCACACCAGAAACCTATGATTGTGGGTTTGAATCCTGGTTCACCCTGATTATGTTTCTAGGTTCATCAGCACCATACCCGTGCTCGTGGGTTTCACTGAAGTGGTAAACGTCTGAGACCTGCATCACTTCGGGCTTTCCTCCCACATTAAGCTGACACGACGTGATGTAACAGGAATACTGTTAAAAGCGGCGTTAAACCCAACTCACTCACTTATAAAATCACAAACTTTGCCTATATGCTTAATTAAAATACATGTGTGTAAAGTCAGAACTGAGAGCAAAAGTATTTTCAAATACATTACCCCTCACCTCCTCTGAAGCTGAAGCTTGTGTAATTTGGCACCAATGCATGTTCCCTCCAATAATGACACCACAATGATAATCCAATCAACATTTATTTAAAATAAAGAATGTAAAACAAATCAAAACATATTTACACATCCTTTCCCCCAGATGCTGCTTGATTGTTGATTATTTATAAGTCAAATAGGCCTCACACCCCAGATTCATAGAGATATTATTTTTTCCATTGGCAAATTGATTGCATATTTTTTTGCTATATTGTAAGAGTAAAACTATTTACTTTTAATGCATAAAGGACAATATAAATTCTGCTACCATTTTAGAGGCATGCCAGCAAGATTGAAGTGTTTCTCACTTTGCAAGTTCATTTTAAAATTGGCAAAACTTGAAAGAAATTCAGTGTGCAATGACATGTAAAACAGCATTAATTTGTTGCAGATAAAATCTGAAGACTCTTTTAGCTTAATATTGCATTACATATATAATCAAATAACACATGCATGAGAGCTTCTTTTCGCTGCAAATCATTTGATTTATATTGAATTTGTGATTTACTGTTTGAGGCGTTTGAAGTATATAACTTCTTGCCTTGTAAATCATGAGAAGATTATTTCACGCAGTCTCTGTAAAATTCCATCACTTTGATCACAAAATGCATGCTACAGTAAACATTAAATAGTTTGCACTAGGAAGTAACTTCATATTATTTTTACATGACATATGCAATTAACATTTGAGGGCAATTTTCTGTTAATTATGAAGGCAATACATCTTGTTTAACAAGTGTAGGCTTGTCTCATGGGGAAGGCACCAGTGGGAAACAAGCAAGAAGCATCTGCTTCTGTCAGAAGTAG